AGTACATTAAAATAATTTAAAAATACTAAAAATATATTAATTTAAAATAAATAAATTTTTAATTTTTTTTTATAAACACAAAGAAAAATAAAAATAAATCCTCATCTTTTATTTTGAGATTGAGTGTACATTTCGTGGCATTGCCTGTTCCCTTCTCGGACCATCACAGAACGTTTTTCATTAATTACAAATAAATAACCAACATGCGCATAAATAGAATAGGATATCGTACAACATTTTTCCTCGCCTGGTGCCCCTTTAAATCTCTGATAATATAAATACAATCTTTGATAATTAAAAAAACGAATAACTTTTCATGTAGTAAAAAGTAATTATGATCCTTGTAATCAATAAAATTCACTCGTTTTTTTGGTTGTTTCATGGTTAAGTAAAGCCTTGTAAATCAAGATTAAATTCACCCATCTACCTTAAAATAAAGACAAATTATTCGTATTCAAATTAAAAAATTCATGAAAATTTTACTTTCTATCACCTTGTGAGATTCGAAAAGACGTAGTAAGCAAAAGATACTGCAAGAATCATCAAACCATCATTCGTGGTAACTTTTTCTAGATTTACAATTTACATTTTCTCCCTTGTTTTGAATATGAAAAGATTACAGCAATTATAAACGACAATTGGCAGCCATGTACTGAGTTTTTATTATATTTTATTAATTATTAATCAAATTAAAATTTAAATATTTATACTTTATTTATCTAATTTCAGACATTAAAAACCATTCATTAATTTCAGGTGATCCACATGGAATTCGATTTAAATTACCATACCTAATATAATTTAACCCTTTTCTAATCTTGGCATGGGAGCATATGCTAGAATAATTCTATCCTCTTTTCTTCCGGGGTATTAAAAGCAATTTCGACAAGCTCACATTTGAAAAAGATTTCAGCTTTCTATTTTTAATTTATCGTCCATCGAAACTTGAGAGAGAGAGAGAGAGAGAGAGAGAGACTGCGCTAGAGAGAGAACTATTTTGGTGGCGTTGCGACGGCGGGTTCTCTTATCTGAGAGAGAAGGCACGATAAATGCTCCACTGACCAAGAGAAGAGATCTCCACGCAAAGCAAACTTCTTTCTCTCTGTTTCTTTTTTCTTTCTTAGATCTGCAATTAGTCTAACCTTTAAATATTATTATTTAGCTACCTCTACAGAATTATTTCACTGAAAAGAAAACCCCTTTCTTGCTCTAATTTCGTGATAATTATCATCACGGGGATTAGAACACCTTCTATTAATTTTTATTTATATTAATAGGAGGGATTTTTTAAAAATATTTAATTATAATAAAGAAGAAGACGAAGATAGAGGGGTTTTTTCTGTGATTTTGATCGGAGCATGTTTTGATGGTAATGGGGTCTGGCAAAGAAGCAACGGCCTCCTCTTCTCAAAACATGGACATGTCTATCGCAGGCAAGCTACTTCTTCGCTCTCTTTCCGCTCTTACTTTTATGATTTCGATTTCAAGTCATGTCTTTCCTTTTTTATTAAAAAAATCATCCGTGAATTGAACTGCTATGAATTTTACCTCGATTTGAACCTTTTGGATTTTCCATGTAAGCAGATCCATGATCTAACTGCAAAAGAAAATTTTCAGTTTTGAATATCTTGTGCCTTCATTTTTCGAGTTTTCCATGTGGAAAAGTTTTTTTTTTTTTTCTGTTTTATTTTGGCTGAACAAGGTGGAAATGATTAGGTGAGCGTGTAGGTAATTTAATTTAGCGCAGCATATTGACAGTAGAAACAATGTATGATAGAGAGAGCTCGTGTTGCTACTTTTTGGCCTGCTTCCGGTTGAAAAGGAAAACAAGGAACGCCATACACTATGAAGTTTTGAAGGAATGAATTTTTGTACCTGCCAAATTCTATGGCCTGAGAGAATTGCTGTATTTTGCAGCTCTTCACGAAAGGCATCAGCAGGAACTTGAGAATTTGACGATGACGGGACAACCCTTCAAAACATTGAAGTTTTTTGTTTTGGCTATGATTCAATACTGTAAGAGATCAGTATTCTACCTTTTGGCTAAAGGTGGCTGGCTGATGCTATTAAGCACAGTGGTAGCAGCTGCTGGAATTGTGCTTGTGACCATTGACGGCCCTCATGAAAAGGTATTGCAGCGTGTAGAAAATTGTAGGTACTTTGAGTTCACTTGAAGTTATGTTCCTATGGATGAAATTATAAGCGAAAGGTTATGTTTTGTATGCTCTTGGATTGCTACTGCCATGGTACTATAATGTTCCCTATGGTTAAACCTTTTCCCATGCATGAGAATATATTAAGATCTGCATATGCTGTTTATCTCTGTCACTGTGAGCATTCATGTTGTTCCATCATTAACTACTCTACTCCAAATTTACAGAGTGGAATTTTGCTTACTTGCTGTGTCATGTTTCTGCAGCATGTTGAGGAACTTTCTAATTATCTGCGATTTGGATTGTGGTGGATTGCCCTTGGCGTTGCATCATCTATTGGTCTTGGTGAGCAAAATTTACTTTGATGAATATAAAAAAACTCTGGCATTGGGAACAGTGTAGAGTGGCGGCAACTATATGAGTGCTTCGAATTTGGAGGGAATTTTTGGTGCATGTAATTATTGATAATGTTTTTGCCACATAAGTTAATTTAGTACGAGTTTTTTACTTGGTTTTGTATTCCAAGGTTTTCAAAGTCAAAAAATCCAACATTGTAGCTGGACAAGGGACCCTTTATCTTTATCATCCTCTTTATCCTTGCCTGATAAACTCTAGTTGCATGGTAGTTAGGCTGTGCCCTGTGCTTGTAAAGTGTGTCAATTTACTTCTCACATGATTTTTGGTCTATTGTTTTGGCTTCATTCACATAAATTAATTTAGATCTGCAATTCACCGAACTTGATCTCTTATCTCTTCTTTTGTTTGTTTTATTAAATTTCATTTCAGGATCTGGTTTGCATACTTTTGTTCTTTATTTGGGTCCTCACATTGCCTTGTTCACGATCAAGGCAATGCAATGTGGCCGAGTTGATTTAAAAAGTGCTCCATATGATACAATACAGCTGAAAAGAGTTCCTTCATGGCTTGGCAAAGATTGCAAGGAGTTTGGGGATCCAATGTTTCCATTCTCACATGGATTGCAGGTTCCTATTAGCAGCATTTTGTTCCAGGTCCAGATAGAGGCTATTTTGTGGGGCGTTGGGACTGCACTTGGGGAGCTTCCTCCTTATTTTATCTCAAGGGCAGGTATGCGCCAAGTTTCTGCATTTGTAATACATTTATCTGGTTAAAAGAATTTCCGAGAATGAAATGCTTATCTTCTGATCTTGTGACCAACCATATGAACTGAGGTTGATGTCATACTATCAGACTGAATGTCTGGATTAATATGATAGTTTGGGGTATCAAACATGATTTTCTTCACAGATTATACAGAGGACTATTTTGGTTTTTCCACTTTTGAGGTTATATGAAACCTAGGATCTTTAAACCCCATTTATTACTGGGGATAACAATTTAATTTGAACCTAATAGATATCAACCTGAATAGATGGATATTTTTTCGATTGGTATTTTACCCAATGAGTTGTAGATAAGGTATGAATATTGTCAAACCCGACCCAAAACTTGTATGAACCTAACCCAAAATATATTTTTACACTATATTGATATGTTTGTAGAACATTTAGATTTTTTTTAATACAATATGATATATACACATCTTAATATTGAAATAAAAAATGTATATTATATTTATAATTTTATAATTTAAATCTGATTATTATTAATGGATCATAAATAATAATTAGATAATGAATACCCATATAGATAACCAAAATCTGATGATAGTTTATGGATATCTAAATTTTTTACTCGATAGGTAACGGGGTAGGGTACGTATATCAAGAAATATGACCTACGGGTACCCATTGCCACCCCTATTTATTACCAAACATGTTTCTATTACTATTATCAACAACAACAACAACAACAACAGCAAGGCCTCAATCCCTACTAGTAGAAGTTGGCTGTAATCAAATCCACCTCAATATCAAGATGTTGAAAGAAAAAAAGAAAAAATATCATGGGTTATTATTCTCAAGTACATATCTGATTCTTTTTTTTTTTTTTTTTTTAATTTATGAGACAACTGTTTATTCTATCTGTTGTCTTTGGTGAGAGTATGGTAGTTCCCGAACATTAGTTTTGATTCAATATGTTTACCTCTCAGCATAATTGTTCTTGCAAATTGATTACATCGCTTTGAGCAGCACGTATATCAGGTAGCAAGCTGGATGCCATGGAAGAATTGGATGCTTCTTTAGATGAAAACAGTGGAATCATAGCTACTCGCCTCACAGCAATCAAACATTGGCTTCTGACCCACTCTCAACATTTGAACTTCTTCACGATTTTAGTGCTTGCTTCGGTTAGTGCAATGCCCATCTATATTTTATACTATTATGTCTTTTCTGAAAACAGTTCTGATCGTTCCATGAGAGACTTTTTTTTTGTTCTCTTGGTACTCATGCCTGCATTAAGATCCTTATTGACTCTTCATAGTTGAAATGTTCTGACATGCAGACATGCATTTAATTGCCATTTTTAAACCTTTTTAATGTTTGTAATCTATCCTCACAGGTGAAATATTTCCTTAATAATTTGACATTGTTATAGTGTTCATGTGGGGCAAATACCAGGGCTGATAACAAATGGGCTTGCCTTCTTACAATTTTTAAAATTTTGTTCAAATTACAAGTTATATTTTTAGATAATATTGGCTCTACTCTTACTGTTGATTAGTATGTCAGAACATTTTATTCTTCTATGCCATCAGATACTTGACATCAGAACATTTTATTCTCTACGAAGTAATTTTATTCTTCTATGCCATCAGATACATGACATTGGTACTTACAAGTCCACGTTGATTAATATCTGTTCATGCCATATTCATTCCTTATTAGCGTGCAACTTGCTGATGAGTTATACTAATTTTAGGTGCCAAATCCTCTATTCGACCTTGCTGGCATTATGTGTGGACAATTCGGGGTTCCATTTTGGAAGTTCTTTGCAGCAACATTGATTGGAAAAGCAATTGTTAAAACTCATATACAGGTTTGTGATATTTCGAAGTTTTCTTTATATCTCTCAGACCTTTGAAAAACTTTCAGCTTATAACAAGTTTTAGGTGCTTTTGTGCTTGAAGCTTCAATTCTCTGATTCGTGTTTTGACCATCCTAGTTCTCTTAGTTTGGTATAAATGAATTTTTAGCATTGATAATATTGTTAAGTACTTTAAAATATGGTGGGAAAATGGAAATCAAGAGTTGAAATTAATGTTGATTTGATAAAAGGTGGTGTTGGATGCTGCTTTATTCTTGAATTGCTTGTGATTGGTCTCTTGGTCAATTTTTTTTTTTGGCAGACGATTTTCATTATTTCTGTTTGCAACAATCAACTTCTTAACTGGATAGAGAATGAGTTGATCTGGGTACTCAGCCTTATACCTGGTTTCGCTCCTGCTTTGCCTCACCTCACAGCAAAACTTCATGCAATGAAGGCAAAATATATGGCACCTGCATCTCCTGCATCCTCAGATATGAAGGTACCCTGATTGACCGCAATAGCTACATCTAGATGGTTCTTGTATAAGTTGATTGTAGGGTGCAATTTTTTTTTGCATTCAAATGCTTTTAATTCTCGGCAATATTGCATTGATTGTCAGGTCTGTTTCTCATTTACATGCCCTCTTTGTTCATTCATCCCCAGGTCAAAAATTGGGATTTCTCATTTGCTGGAATGTGGAACACGGTTGTGTGGCTCATGCTCGTAAACTTCTTTTTTAAAATTGTGAATTCAACTGCACAGAGTTATCTGAAAAAACAGCAGGAAAAGGAGATAGCTGCATTGACAGATAGTGCATCAGCTTTGACACATTCAGATTAGGAGCCTGACCGAAAGAACTATGAAGCATGCATTTCTGGTAGAAGCTTGTATAAAATAGGAACACAATGGCCGGTGTCATACTGGAAGAGGCATTATTTTGGGTAGTTGTTCACCCATTGGTAAGAACTGTTGACATGTTAGCGGAAACTTACTGCTATTATTCTTTGGAAATGCAAAACAAATTATTTGGTGATTGATCGTTGGTTGCTTAAACTTTTCGGATTCTAATATAACGCCGTATGGTTTCGTCAATGGGTTTGCATGCCTATGCTCTGAATTTTAGCCTCTCTTTTACATATGGATTCACCATCTCAGAATTTGTTTGATGCCATTGAATGTATAATGGGCGCATTCCGCTTGCTTCATGTCTCTTAATATCAAGACCTCGTTTCCTGCACGTTAATATACAGACAAAGCAGAGATGATTTTCTTCTCTCTTACTAAAGTTCTTGCAAAAACCTCTTGAATCCTGGAATGCTGTGAGAAATGGAACTTTATAATTTTTGAGGCTGGCGGTTAGCAGTGTGCCAGCTTGACTCGGAGGAGTACCGCACGATGGTAAAAACTTTTTGCCAGTAAAATCTCTCGAACTTGTTCTTACAGTTTTACGAATCGAGGTTTCAGGATCAGAATAATCTGTCTCCTCCTCATCTGCCAAAGATCGATAATTAATGATAACAGAAATATAGAATGATTGTAATCATCAATTATGTAATGCTTTGAATTGTATATATTCTCGGTCCGAGAGGGAAAAAAAATCACCACCAACAGGGGAGAAATTGAACTTTGCGCCGCTGGATTGGATCATGATTTCATTTCGAGCTTAGTTTCTATTGATAAAAATATAAGTTCCTTTATTTCAATTAAAATAAAACAACATGAGCTTGGTAACTGGCAATAGCGTTTGGTTGGATCAGATATATAGTAGTAATAATAAATAAATAAAAAGTTATAAGAAATTAAATAATAAGAAACGAATGCTTAGTGAAAATTTAAAGAACTTGAAAGAATTCATGATTATGTGAGTTTAAATCCAGTTTTTTATTTGTTTCTATGAATTTATTTGTTTGTTTCTGTATTTTAGATTATCTTTCAATCTATTCTATTAGCAAATATTTTCATATAAGTAAAAAAAATGTCCTCACATGAGAAATTCAAAGTGCATCAAATTTATTAAAAATAAATATTTTTTTTTTAAGTTATCACGTGATATATATATATATATATATTAACAAACCTAATTGGATTTGAGTTTCTTGCGTGGGGTATTTCTATCGTTTTGTATGGAAATATTTAATTAAAAAAACAGACTGGAGGATAATTAAACTCGGAGGTAGGGTAAATAATTAGAACTCTATCGTGCCAAATGTTAAGCCATTGTCGGAGCAAGCTGCATTGTCCAGCAACTTTTATGAATGACATAAAACTTACAATGATTATGAGTAGAGAGCTTGGAAGGTTTGAGAACATGTCTCTGTCCATCATTATAAAAGGTTTTTGTCTCTGAATATGAAGGAGCAAGTGAGGAAATAATTTAATATGTCTTTAATTATATATTTATATAGTATCAATTTTTCTAACACGTCATATAGTCAAATATTTCTATCCAGATTGCCAGAATATTCTGGTCCGATATAATACAAAAATGTCTTAAGATTGCTCGAGTTATTTTAAGAAATAAAAAAGTTTCAATGTTAATCAACCGTTAATTTTTTTAAAAATAAAATAAAATTGTACTCTTGTATACTTGAAGTATCTTTTTTAAATAAAAAATTAATTATGTTAATCTGGATAAAAAATAATTAATTATGCATGGACATAATAAACCCAATTAAAAATATAAAGATATTATAAAGACATCACCTACTACATAGATTAAATCATTTATTCTTTTTATAGTCAACAAATGCAATTATTTTGCGTAATGATTGCTGAATAACAAATGTAATTATTTTGCGTGATGATTGCTGGATTCCCATGAAAGATACTTTTTTAGCATTGATTCTTTTTTATTTTATCATTCTATAAAATTACCCTGGGTCATAAGTTTCATGTATTAATACAACTTGACTCGACTTATTATTATTATTTGTTGTTACTGTTTTTTAATTATTATATTATGAAATTAATTGAGGTTTAAGCTAACCTTTGAGTTTCTGTTATTTTTTAAAAAAACTATTGTACATATTAAAAAAATTAATTCGGCTGACTGTATATTGCGTGCCGGGCCTTCAATGGGTAATATATATATAATCTGAGAGTCAATTTGTTTTTGCATTTTTGAAAAGCCCATGACCACACCCCCCAACCCAAAAAAAAAAAATTCCTGAAAACTATCTAAAAACCAAAAATCAAAACCGGAAATGAATTATTATTTTTTTGCTTTTAAATGCTATTTAATATAAAAGCTTGACAATACAAGCAATAAAAAAATTTAATTATTATTAACAAAGAGTTAATTCATATTCACTTCTCACAAAGCAACATTTTTCACTATAACAATGATTTGTTTTTTATTTAAAATTTTATTATTTAACATTAAGTTTATTAAAAATTAATATAGATTTACAAAGATTTTATTATGTTTATTATTTTTTTAAATTTTAAATTTTAATATTTAATTGGTTGAGAATCAGATTTCATAATCTATTTCAATTAATTTTTTTATGGATTTATTTTATTTTCATAATCAAGAGTTATGATTTTGACAAATATAAGAAGTTGATTTAGGATATTTTTTAGATCCTCCTAAGATAATCCAGTCATGCCCAATTATCCTGTACAAGATTTAACTATTTTTTTACTGTAAAATATGTTAGTGATACTTAAATTTTTTTATATATTAAAAAAAATTACAATGTAAACTGCAGTGAAGCACAGAGCAATGATCTAATTCAGAACCGTGGTATAGTAATTTGTTCGAGGTAAAAAATTTTCTATGAAAGTACTTCGTCTCCGTCAAGGCATAATCACATGATGGTAATGAAGAAAGAATTTTTTGCGAAAAATAAAATGTTTGGTATGATAAAATCTTCTGCTCGTGCCTGAGCGAAGCCATGCGACTAAAATGTTTGTCTCATGCCTCATGGTGAGCTATTTATTATTTTTATTTTGGAGATTATATATGCATATGCATATGACATGATTATGTGTTTGTAATACAAAGCATTTATTTTTATAAGAGTGTATTTGGATTGAAAAATATTAAAATTATATTTTTTTAAATGACATTTCATGTCTTTAATACCAGTTTATTAAAATCATTTAAAAAATTCAAATCTTAAAATGTACTGTTTTTAGAGCTCATATGTATTTTAAAAAGTACTCTTAAACACTGATTACATATCACTGACTTTAGAAACGATAATGTTGACTCTAATGGTGTTATAGTTAACAACTTAATACACTATCTGCCATGTTAACCTACGTATTAGCATGACAAATTGCTATGTTAATCTCTTAAACACCCTATTGATATACACATGGAAGGAGATAATCCTGGGTGTGATTTAACTTCCTCAAATGTTCGAAAGCAGCTGCACAAGCGCAATGGTAAAGTGGGCATGGGTGGGTCGCTCTTTCCATTTTAAAATGATTCTCTTGTGGGACCTTAAACCCTCTAAAAGGGTTCATGCAAGGGACAGAAATTAAGGGGCGATCATCCTAGAGGTTAGACAACACCTGAGATTTCAGAAATGGCCAAGATCCAAGTATTCTCATCACCTCCGAACACTTGCACGATGATGTTCCATCATGTTCTGGAGTATATTATATATTGTTTTTTTAAATATTAAATTGATAAAAAAATATTAATTTAAATATTAAACAAACAATTTTTAAAAAAAACACATATTGATAAACTGTAATGCAAAACAATACATTCGTATCATGGGCAAATCATCTTATTTCAAGTCATGGTTAAACAATAACTCAGAATGCAATAGCAACTTTTTTTATAAAAAAAAAATGGGACCAAAATTTCAATTTTACTTTGGAGCACCCACTTCGCCTTTTCCTCTCTCTCGTGAACAGACACATGTCACTCTCCATTAACTGTAAGATATTGCCGCGTTAAATAAAATAAAAGCTGAAAAGGATAAAAGAGAGGTGGGGTAACACGTGTAGAAGAGAAGAGCCTGCAAGATCACACTTCCAGGCAGGATATACACATCAGCACATACGTCGCTATTCTAGAACGCGGGCCCCCAACCCATCTTCTAATGGGGACCACAAGCGAGGGCCCCCATGGTAGTAAATCATATCTTTCGTTTACAGTTATTTAATTTCTCCCGCGAACCTTCCCTCTGCTATCCTGGGCTTTGGCTTGGGGGTCTCAGCAAAATCATCTATTCTAGACACTATGGCTACCTTAAGGTGTGATGTTTATAAAAAATCTTGAATTTATCTTCACTTCAGATTATTATTTTTTATTTTAATATATTGATATAAAAAATAAATATTAACAAATATTATTTTAATATATTTTTAAATAAAAAATACTTTAAAAATCAATCCTTCTACAATCTTAAGCACCTGCAGACAGACTAAAAATCTCGTACATGCTTCCTCCTCTTAATTTACAAGAAAGATAACTACATACCACAGAGCACCCCTCTCAAAAAACAAGAAAGAAAGAACAAACAAATAAAGACAATTACAGAGCAATGCATTGTGAGAGACAACGTAATCACATTCATTCCACAAGAATGGCAACGGCAACGTGTAAGACAGACCATAAAGGGACAAACTCCGTTTCAAGCGTCAAGAGATGACGTGGTAGCACTTCACGATTTCGCAAAGGCAAAGGTTTTATGCAACATGGACACTACACTAACAACTGAAAAACCAAATAATTGCGAGCCCAAATCGGAGCTCTTGTTTTCAAGTTCGAACCTTCCTTAGGTAAGATGCGCCGGTTTATCTGCAAAACAACCTCTCTCAACAATTATGACAAACCATCACCCCTCAATGCAATACAGCAAATCCCACCATGTTCTATAAACCTAGCACGACTAAATTGTCCCAGAAATTATATATGACATCATCCCACAAGGTGTCGATGGGTTACAACACAGGGAAAACAAGGATGGAGACAGGTATTAAATAAAAAAATTGGGAGGGTTTACTTTTATATGTGCAAGACATAATTCATATACACCATCCACTGCACGTAATATATATTGTTTTAGAAGATACTGCCTAATGCGCTTTCAGGAAAATAGAACTAGACCCCATAAAAAAGGGATGGAAAATCTAGCACAGTGGAGAAAATAACTGACCCATGAGGGAAAGGTTGTTCTTTATCTTCACCTTTCCACGTCCATCTTTCCTTCTTTTTCTCTACAAAAACACTTGTTTCATTCCCAGCCTCTCGTCATCACACCAATCAAATTTAACTAGACCTGACCATCAACCCTGTCAGCCTATAGACACAAGTGTACAGAGAAAGATAATATGCACGGCGATCCGCAAGTCCAGTCAGAAGGTATTCAAAATTTCGGTTCGGATCCACCTGGCGTGCTTCCTAGAACATTTCTCACCCCTTCATTCTGCCAGAAGGTATTCAAAATGTCATTTCCTTGGCTTGTTAATTGCTTTCCCTTCATAAATTGAAAAATCCCCAATCAAACCAATCTACTAGTCTTTTTCAATCTTACTAGTCTTTTTCAATCTTCTCCGATCCGCAGGTTGCCATCTAAAGCACCAGGCACATGATTCTATTCGCCAGCAGGTTGTTTCTTCTCTGCCGGTTTCACCTGAACCACAGTGGGAACAGGATGAACATATGGGAAGCCAGCAGGTAAAATCTGATGCGGCTTTCCTGCAGGCTGTGCAGCAGCAAATTGGGCATGGATAAGACCCTGTGAAGGTAAGCCACCTCCTTTCATACTGTTAGCAGCTGCCTTCGCAGGATCAGTGCTACTGGTAAAGGCAAGTGTGACTGGAGGACATAATGACAACATCCCTGTAGAGGAGATAGCTGAAGCGCCTTGTGATTGCTGCTGCTGATCACTACGGTGTCTTTGGAGAGTTGAACTTACCGCATGTTGAGCTTGGGTTTGCATATAAGCGTTAGTGTACATTAGCTGAGCCTGTTGCAAGACATGCTTTGATAGCGGCTGTTGATGTGACATTTGAGGCTTTGTACCAGAGTTAGATGAAGAGGTGTTGTGAGGATGACCATGGATTGATGCAACATTTCTTCCCCCAACTGGAGACAATTTTTGCACAGGTACTGATGCAGAGTTGGATTGTTGAGATGATAATGTAGAAGATTGACCACCTTTGTTACCCGTGGAAGCGGATGTCCTTGGACTTCCACCTGCACTCTTAGAAATTGATGTTGTGGGAGAACCAACCATCATCGGAGGAGATGGGGATTGGTTAATGCTGGGATTTGGTTGCCCTTGCGGCGAAGCAGATGGTTTTTGGTTAGCCGCAAAAGATATCTGCGTGTGACCTCCTTGTGTTCGGCCTTGTTGTTGGGGAAGATTTTTGAGGTTTGATGAAGCTGGGGTTAGAGATGGAGAAGGAACTTGAGAAGTGGTGGTCCTCAAGGAATTTTTCCACTGGGGTGATTGAGCAGGGCTACTGCTGTTTTGAACAAAATTTTGAGGAAAAGCAGGAAGTGCATTAGGGAACTTGGTGGCCATGGCTGATGATGATGAAATATGATCGGGATAAGCACTTCCATTGCTAGTTGCTGGGGTTTTACTACGAGAGGAAGCTGCAGCCACAAATTGTTGCTGCTGCTTCTGAAGCTTAAGAATTTGCTGCTGCTGCTGATTCCGCTGCATCTGCTGCTGTATACTTGGTGCATTTGCACCACTGATATTAGCTGACATAACAGAGCCAGAGGTCCGAGCAGGAGGAGTCCCAAGGTTAAGAGTTCGGGCTGAGCTATCAATGACATTGTTGACTGACATTGTTGAAATGGGGGGGTCTGTTGAATCTGCCCGAGAGAACACAATTGACTGCCCAGCAGTTAATGGAGCCTTTACTCCTGCAATGGCCTTCCTCTCTTCTTCCACATTAGAAGTGTCATTTCCTCCAGTTTTCCCTTCTTCAGAAACACGGTAATTCTTCTTCTGCTGTGCTGCTTGGGCAGCAGCGATTAAGTGATATCCATGCCTTGCTGCCTCTGGAAGGCTTTGGAGAAGAGCATGATTATGTGCCATTGATGAAATATCAAGTCCCGGGGAAGCAGTGGTTCCATTGATGGAAGTAAATGATATGGCAAAAGCCTGAGAGGTTGAAGGTTCGGCCCCAGCATTAGAGATCTGTGTTTGTGGTTGCTGGGGTTTCTTTTCACTAGTATTGCCACTTGCACTATGGGCACCACCCATCGGTGCAGGATTCATCAAAGCAAAGTTTGCTGGATGTACTGGCATTAAATTCTGGCCATAAAGACTCATATTTGAACGGGAGGCTTGACAGTCAGCAGTTGAAGTGCTGTCTTCACCACCTAATTCACTCTCGGGTTGACGAGCTTGCTGAGAAACATTCTGATTTTGCATCTGCTGCCGTTGCTGGTTTGGCAGGGAATGGAGCAGCTGGTTTTTAGGGCCAGGAAAACCTTGCAGATTTCCACCATCTCCACTGCCATGCAATCTCTGCTGCTGATTCTGCAAATGCTTCTGGGTTGATGAGGAACCACTGGTAATACTCGGATTTTGATGGCCTTGTTGGCTTTGTTGTGTCTGGGTGGATGGCTGTTGCTGCTGAAGCTGTGAAGGATGGAGCATTTGAGAAGAATAAAACGATCCATTAAACAAAGGCATTGCCTGAGGATGGGTTCCTCTATAAGCTGTTGCGGCCCCAACATGAGCAGGAATGGGAATCGGGAATGCTCCATTCTGCATAATTGCCAAGTACTGGGTTTCATTGCCTGAGAGATTCGGGTAGTTGAAGCTCATTGGTGGAGGACCAGCTATAGCTGATGCTGTGGCACTCATTGAAGCAGAACTAGAGGCACTTGAAGAGGCTACACTGCCTGCAGCAGGAGGAGACTTCACACTTCCAGGTCGGACAGAAGCTGCTGCTGCAGCAGCAGCAACAGCTTGTTGTTGATTCAATGGGAAGATGAAAGTGGGTCCATGCTGGAATTTAACAGAAGGAAAACTAACACTCAAAAAACCAAAAACCATGGACAGATCAGAGAGTTATGAACATTACAACTCAAGAGACGACCATACCATGATATTACTAGGAGCACCTGGCGGCAGGGCTTGCTGGAGCAAAATCTGCTTTCTCTGTGCAGCTTCTGCAATGTTCGCACCTTGAGAATTCTTCTCCTTCCCACAGGGACCTGGAAAAATGGCAAGACTCTGTCCCTTTTCTTGCACTGAATTCACACCTCTACCTGCATGCAAGTCAGCGGATGGCACCACATTCATATTGCACGCTTTAGCCCCATATTGTAAAGCAGAAGCAGCAGCTGGTGGCCAGAAAGGATTCATCCTTGTAAATTGCTGGTAACAATGAATGTTCCTTGCAATGTAGCAATGTGTTGCACACCTTTTTGGCCGTGGTTGGCTAAAAATTAAATGAGGAGGCTGCAACAAGTTCACAAAGAACCCATCAGAATGGAGGAGGGATTACATTCTTTTCCAGATGCTCAAACAAGAGTTACATACCTGTATGGCTGCAGAAGACACACTGCTTCCATCCATGGATACAACTCCTTGTAGAGGTGCCATATATCTGCCGATACGAAAATGTCATTTCCCCAGAGAAGAGAATCTAAAGCATTGTACGGCCTAAGAATGAAAGAATCAAACAACACCCAAAAGACAATACCCCATGTGAGGAAGCCCACCGGGCCAGCCAGTCATAGACACTGGCAAAGGTAAAGAACTGGATTGCGCTGAGAATGGTACAGAAAAAAGAGGAAGAAAAAAAAAATTGAATCAGCAACCCAATTGGAAAATTTGATGAGAACAACAATTCTCAATTTTTTTTAAAAAAAAAAAGAGGAGAAATCCGCTATTATTTTTTACCAATTTTCTCTGTGTTGGGTTGCTGCTGCTGCTGCACATGCTGAAGCGGCTTATTTCTACTTATAGTAACAGTGGCGCTATCTCTATCAGCCTTCCCTGGATCAAGCTGGAGATCAATATTCCTTTCTTTATTAACAATTGGCTTCTGGGATTCAACTTGTTCGCCAATAACTTTTGTCTTTTTCTCTACAGGTTCCACACTTATATCTTCCTTTACAACTTTCAATGCTTTCTCATCTTCTTTGACCATCACAGGCTTCTTTTCCTGCCATATTGAACAAGCAAAAGCATAAGAACCAACAACATTAATTTTTCACAAACCGCATCATAACAAACAGATAAGCAGATAAGTCATAAAAAGCAGAAAGTACAAGGTGGTCCCACTCACCGTTTCCCCATATGTGACGATAGATTTAGGATCTACGGCCACAAAATCAACCTCACCGTCCCTTTCTGGAGATGACCTTGATGGAGGAGGAGCCTGTGACTCGATGAAAATTAAAAATTAATTAATTAATTAATTACTATATATATATATATATATATATATATATATATATATATATATATATATATATATATATATATATATATATAGATTACAATCCCACTAGAGGAAAAGTATTTATGTTGTGAAATTGTGAATAAATCTTCACCATCAGATCTATCTGGAACTTCTCTTCTCGCTGACTATCAATCTCAGAGACCATCAAATTCCTGTAAGAAAAAATATCCGGGATAACCAAAATCAGATTCCAGGCTTCAGAACAATGAAGAAGATCAAAATCAAACAAGCGTCCATTTAATCGATGCTCACGCTTTATTTGCTGTCAAACTCTCGCAATCATCACCCAATCTAAGACCAGGAGTAGATTCGTTCTTCGGAGACCGAGTTTCTTCTATCAGTCCTCCCAAATCTCTACATTCTGATCCTTCAGTCGTGGGCTTAGAATCCGATATCGGTTGATTCTCCAGCTTAACCGCCTCCTGCAGCTGCGCCTCTGTCATTGCGGGAGCAGCTTGATTGGCCAATAAATCATGTGAAACTCCACCATTTTCAGCTGCAGATCCCGAGTTCTCTAAATTAGGAGAAGAATCAATTCTTGCAGGCTGATCAACGTCAACCTTGGCTATTGACAAAATGGAACTATTACGAGCAGGAAAGTTTGTGGGATGCTCGTCATCATACTTGACCGGCCGCGGTCTTTTCCTCTTAGGTGCTGCAAATCGAAACCAAAACCCAAAAAAATACATCAACATAAGGAATGAAATCAAAATGAGGAACCTTTGCTATGATCACATCCTTTTCCCTTAAAATCCCGGAGCATTGAGGAAGAAAATGAAACCGCTTCTGCTCATGAGAACTCACCAATTGCAGACATGGGAGCAGCAGAAGAACTAGAATTAGCTGGTGGGATAGAAGATGACTGAGGAACAGTGGACTGTGAGTTGGAGATCGGTGAGGAAACTCTGGATTTAGCATCACTGGCAGTTTTATTGTGGTTCGCTTCTCTGAAATCAAACTTGATTGAATCATTTCCCATGATTTCTTGCTTTGTAGCTCCTTGAGGTTGCCTCAGCAACCCATATAACACCTCAGCGATCTCAAACTCAATCTCATCTTGTGCAGAAGTAGATTTTGAAGAAGATTTAGGAGGTCTCTGTTTCGGTCCATTAGGTTTCTACAACAGCAAAAGTGAAAGCAATCGTCAGTTTATTGACCCAAAAATTATTAAAAGAGAAGGCAAAATCCTGTAGAAATGAAGCAACGGACCATCTTCTTTTTAACTGAAGCATTGGAAGATGATGGAGGAGAGACAGGAGCCACCGGAGAAGCTGAAGCTGAAGCTAACATAGCCGGTCCACTCGATCTTACCGGAGATATTGAAGCTTGATGGTGAATTTGCTCACTAACAACTCCACCACTTGAAGTCCAACATTCATGTGACCTCTTTGTAGATGCTGCAAAAGAAAACCAAAAATCAGCAATCAGCTAAAATCTGAAAAATTTGCCTTTGTATACTAAATCTCTTCCACCTCTATACCTGACCGAGCTTTTCTAGGAACCGACACACCAATCATCTCATCAGGAGCCTTCCACGGTGTAACTGCAGCAGTGGTATTCGTCGTCGTCGGCGCGGCCCTAAAAACTTTTGCCTGCGGCGGAAAGCTCTTCCTATGATGATGATTAGACATAGAAGAAGAAGATAAAGAAGAAGGGTTCGGTGGAAGCATCCTCATGGAGTTTCCTGCAACACCAACCGCATCATCGTCATATTCATCTTCGTCATCATTAACGCTCTCTTCGTCTGAGGTCTCGTCTCGCTCTCCATCTTCCCTATTGCTCCCGTGCATCAGTCTCTCCCCTCTCCTCCTCTTACTTCTGCCGCTAATCCGATCTCTATCTCGGTCTTTCTCACGGTCCCGGTCCCGGTCCCGGTCTCTATCCCGATCCCGATCTCGATCCTTTTTTCGATCTCGCAGCTTTGTTGTTTCTTGCAACTCCACCGGTCCATCATCTTCTGCAATAACGAACACCAAAACACATCAGAATTAATACGAACTGTCTTGATTTAACAGTTGCCAAAGAGAGTTAGATCTGATGAGAAATCAAACCTGGAGAGTCTCTTAGGCTGCTACTTCTGTGTCTTCTTCTAGACAAACCATTACCGGCTGCCATACCCAATCTTCTTGCTTCTCTATTTCTTTCCATCTCTTTCTTTGTCTTTCTAATAACAAATCACTTGTGATCAGAAAGTTTATCTTATCTCTCATATCACCAAAAAGCACGCATAATTAAGTCCAGCTCACTGGGTTTTTCAGAAATACCGATGTATTTGATCTTATAGAACAAGTGATGTTTTTTTTGGGGCGGGGTAATCAAGGATTTTCGACCAAGAAAAATTTTCGGTGTTGAAACATCCTAGCTCTCACTTATCTTCTTCTCTACTTGGCCAGCCCCCCTTCACTCTCTCTCCCTCTCTTCCCTTTTGTGTTCTCGTCTTCTCAACCCTCTTTTCTAGCTATATTTCATCTCATATCACTCTGAAACTTACTGCCAAAGCCTAGTTGACGGCCACGATTTTTAGGTGCATTCCACGGTGAGATCTAAACCATTATTGCACGACACATCGAACGGTTCTGATAGGCTGTCACCAACATGGCAAAATCGCAACCCTTGAATACCCTGCCTCTCAGCGACCACTTAACTTTTTTATTGCATAATATTTCCACGTGGCCGCCTTGTTTATTTCTTTATGCTCAAGCGTTCCATGTTCAGTTAGAATTATTGTTTAAAATATTTTTTATTTAAAAATATATTTAAATATTATTATTATTTTAATTTATTTCTCGCATCATCATACTTAAAAAAAACACGATGGCCACGGAAAACGACCTCACTCACCTCCCCGATTTTGCTATTATTTTATTGCAATGGCAATGACAACAAAAAAACAATATTAATATAAAATTGATTAATAATTTAATTAATTAATTCAATGTTTGAAGAGTGAGAAAATACTGGTGCCCACGAATCACTATCAAAATTGAGAGGGCCCACCCACTGCCTTGAATTTCCCAAAGAGATCTCGAAACTGGCTATAACCGGTTACACTGACCTTGGTAAAAGCAACATTACGATCACTAGGAATCTCGGTGACCGCAGAAAATATCGTTCCAACCGGTGAAATTCATTGTATTTCGGTTCCACGTTTTCTTACTTCCAGTATTTCAATAAATTATTATTATTAGGGTTTGACAGTAACTCGGACAAGAGCATGTGGGCTCCATGTGAAAGCAATCAAAAAACTGTAATCCAACGCGTAGGATTGTCATTAGCCAGGGAAACATCCTTTAAAACCGTTGGATCGCATCTGACGTGGATATGGCTTCATTTCAAACAAAATCCCAGATACCAACGAAAAAGCTAGTCCGAGCTGGCAGCACCGCACCAAAAAAACATTTGTCAGCTTTCTCATTTTGATCCGTGCGCCATATCATGACTGTTGATTCTTTCAATCTGACGGCTGATATCAGTTGAGCAGCAGAGGAGGAAACTCGAGTCACGGTCAAGAGAAAGGGTGGGACACAGAAACGAACACAGTTAGCTGCCGATCTAGATACAAGAAAGAGAGAGAAATTATTTCCTCGCTTAGGTGTTGGCCTTATTGTCACTTTCGCGAGATGGTGGCAGCTCGTTAGGTGACGTGTACTGGGTCCCACTTTTAGAACCAGAACCGGAATATACTCGCTTGGTCAAATTTCACCGCGCAGTTAAAAGGTATTAAAAAAGCAGCATAAAATAATAATAGGATAAAAAAGGAAAGGGCAAAAAAACAAGTTCCCTCTGATTTCCCGCTTTCTACTCCACGCACTTATAGCGGAGAGAGTTCGTTCCCATTCTGCGTGCACTAAATTAAAAAAGTAGCCGTCCACATGGCAGAGTCATTTTCTTTACGTGTCAGTGTTTTTATCTGCCACGTGTGGTTCTCTGTCACTCCCTTCACTTGTCCGCGCCTTAGATCTTGGAGTTTTTTTCTCGTTAAAAGAATAGATTAAATAATATAATGTAAAAAATATTTTAAAAAATATCATAGATTAGTTCTCTGTCACTCTCTTCGCTTGTTTGCGCATTGAATCTAGGAGTTTTTTTCGTTAAACAAAGATAAATTTATATAGTATAAAAAAATATTTAGATAAATAGTATATTTTAAATCATTATAATTATTCAAATTACAAAATCATCAAACACAAGAATTAATTAAAACAATAAAAAATAAAAAAATTGTTAGAAACAGATTCAGTCCACTCATGTAATCACCTTTAATTATTGTTGTTGATTTTTTATGATGTTTTTTTATTTATTCTATTAAAATCTTATCAACATGTCTTTAAAATCCTTTTTTTTTCTTTAATTTTATCTCTCATCTTTTCTTGTAATTTATAAAAAAATATGAAAGAAAAAAATAATTTCAAAAATACATTGAAACTCTTATAAAAATATCATTAATATTACTAAAAATATCTCAACAAAATAAATTTAACAACACCTAAAAATATCATTAACAATAAATAAAGTGGTCTATATAAACCACTCAAATATCATCAATAATAAATAAAACGGTCTATATAAACCAATCAAATATATCAATATCACTTGCCTTTATATTTTTAGTATGATTTATTTTAATTATTATTGATAATTTTTTATATCATTAAATTTTTTTATTGAAATCTTTTAAATTTTACAAGTTTTGTAATTATTGAAGTTTGGATATATCTTTATATACTTTCTTCTCTTTTTTTATTAAATTTTATATCTAATAATTTTGCAATTCAAAAAAAAAATTATATAACACTTACAACCCCGTGAAAGACAGGTATTATGCATGACTCTTAAATTGTTCTATTTTTTAAACATTTTTTATAGTGTATTGTTTTATAATAAAAAATTACCATGTTAGAAATCCCAAAAAACACTTGGATGTTTTTATTATTACTCGCCATCTCTCACTTCATTTCCTCGAAATAAATATCTTTTCTTTTAATGGGAGAGGATAGAGTGACGAGAAGGTTAGATATTATTGATTGAGGCTGATAAGATATTCATGAATCCCTTGTCCACATTTTGCCACTTGTATGCTATAAAAGTTTTTTTCTAATAATGTTGTGTCATTTACCAAAACCATGAAAAACGAATTAATTTTGGTGGCCATGTCATAATTAGGGCCCACGATAAATGGTTGGCCCACCACAACTGATCACTTTCTCATCCTTTTGTTCGCTTTATATGTTTACATTAGTTGGCTACGTCACTATTGCCTCCGTGGATGTCATGGCTTCGCTGTACCGACTTACCGAGGATGTCATCTAATATTTTTTATGTTAAAATGATTTAAAAAAAAAAGAATTTCAGAAACACGGTTCGCTGAACTCCCAAAACACAACTTTAGCGACCATCATGCGTAGAACCCTGGCCGCCAAAAACTTGCTATATTTACAATTCTTATATACCTGTAAGTTACCCATCTGTGTTTTACTATGCTGGAATTATTGGGTGCTATTTCATAACATATCTTGGAAGGGTTGAAGTTGTGTGTTTTTTATATAATTTTTACTTTGATTTTTAAATTTTTATTTTGCATATTTTTATTTTTTAACCCAAATTAGCCTTTAATTATATATTTTTTCATAGAAAATATTGAATTAAAAGCCACGAAATTCAAGTAAAAATCATGAATAACATAGAGCGGATTAAAACTTTTAGCGAATTAAAACTTTTGTTACAGCATTTATTTCAATCTCTTGTAATTTTTAAATATTAAATAACCAGTATCTTAAAAAAAAACGATACATTTTAATACTAACTTCCTTTTCTTTTTCTAAGTTCAATTTTTTATATTAAACGAGAGAAAGACTCGTTGTGTTTTGATTTAAAATGAGAAAATAGATGCAGGGAAAGATTGCAGTCAAAAAACAATGGATCTTTGTGTTAAAATATTATATATCACAAGGGAGATCACGTTTGGGTTTTTTTTTTATATTAAAAATACCTAAAATAACATATATGAACTCAGAAAATTTTTTTATTTTGGGTGGATTTAAGGTTTTGGATGGTTTATTAGCTTTTTGGTGGGTGTGGATTGCTTTAGCAAGGGAAAATTTTTTTATTTTGGGTGGATTTAAGGTTTTGAATGGTTTATTAGCTTTTTGGTGGGTGTGGATTGTTTTAACAAGGTCTCTCTCTGATGTTTCATAAGTGTTCTAGATTAAAATAAATTAAAAATAGGATTTTGTGTAAAAACAACAATAAAACTTGTCTTTTCTTACTACCATGGTTAAATTCTAGGTTTACCAAGAAATGCATTATTTTTTAAAAATAAATAGAACACATGACACATGGTCAACTCTATTAAACTTTAAAAAAAGAGTGAAGGCTCATGCATGATGATCGTTGCTTTATTAGGTCAATAGTTGGGCATGTCTCGTCAAATTTAGCAGCATCTAGTCTGTTTTTTATTTATTTTTTATTTTTAAAAATAATTCATTATTTGTGTGTATTTTTTCAAATAAATTTTGAGTTTGTATCTTAATTAGATTGTGATTGTATTTTAAATGATATTAGGTATGTTTAATTTTTAGAGAGATAAGTATGATTCATTTGTGATTTTTTTTATTTCTATATAGATTAAATTTTTTGACATGTTGATTTTTTAATGTACATCCTTGCATTTTTTTTAAGTAATTTTTAATAATTTTTATGCATGTGTCAATTCTATTCTAATTTTTATGTGTTTTTATATTATAAATTTATCTTGATTAAATAATTCATTAAATATAACAAGATAAATTACCATTATTGTGATGTTAGACATGCTAATCTTTAAATTTTGCTTGATTTTTTCAATTGTAGTTTTGTTCACCGTTGATGATTTTTTTTATTGTTTTACATAATAGTTACTGAGTTGTTCAATTAGATGTATGCATAAGTTTTTCAATTTATCTCTGGGGTATTTTTAAGTATAAAAAACACGTTGAAGAATTCTATATATTTATTTTTTTATTATGTTTTGATGGTTAAGATTTGATGCTTATTTTTATGGTTTTTCCTTGAATCTTTTATAAAAGCTTCACTCTTAAATCAAAGTTTATAGTATATTATTGTTTTTTTTATTTTTGTTCTTATAATTTTTATCCTTTTATTAATATTGTTATCCTTTCCAATTTAACTCTCTCTCTTTTTTTTTTGTTTTTTGATTTATTTTTTACTGTATAGTGTTTTCGGTCTTATAATTCGGGTCATGGTTTAAAAAGCTAATATTAATTGATTTTTTTTGTTTTATTTTTTTATAAAATTATTATATTTTTGTTTTTTTACTCTATTAACAAATAAAATCATTAAGATATTCCTGTAATAACATGAAGATATATTAATATAACATTAACAAGCTTGTATTTTTTGTATCAAATCATTGTTATTTGTTTGCCTGGTTAAATGATATTGTAATTAATAGAGATTGTTA